TATTAAGGCCCCTACATTAAACCTCCTTTCTCAAGAGCTTTTTTTCCACACGACCTCGTGCTTCAGGCTAGCTCATCTGAAGAATGAGCAGAGCAGTTCCTCGGCGTGCAACGAGGAGTATATGGGTAGTTCTCTAAANNCCCTAAATTAGAGAACTACCCATATATCAGGGGTTTTTGAAACCTGCAAAGCAGTATAGTAGCACAGTAAAGTAAATCGCATCGCCCCCACACCGAAAAAGATCCTGAGGGGACGTGGGCTCACATGCTGTCTTCAGCTGATAGTGGCAAGAGGGAGGCTGTTAGGTTGTTTATAAAATATGGACAAGAGACAAGACGCAAGGCTTACCTGAAATATCATCCTGATCATCTCCATCTTCAAGCTACATAGCTACGAAGCTTGTGAGACTAGTCATAGAGATGACTGCATCACTGGGTCATCTGCCACCATGACATGGTCATGGCCACACTGGTGGCCATGAAATTGACTGATCCCGCCCACAGAGCATCAAGCCTGCAACCAGGTAAGCCGCGCTCATACTTCAAGCAGCCGTGGTGGCTTGCGGGCTACTGTGATTGAACATTGAATGTCATGTCTGCTGCTGCTCACTCAAGCCAAGCTGCTGCGGTGTGTTACGCCGAATCGTCCAGCTAATTCGGAATTTGGCCAAACTCGAAATCGTGCCACAGTCCCGCACTTTTTCGGGGGTTGGGTCGTGTTGCCGCTTCCGAGAATCTTAATCCCTGCACAGTCGGGTGCGTTTCTGCCTTCGGAAGTCGTGCTCCCGCCCCAGCACTGTTCGTATTTAGAGTTCCAGTTGTGCTTTCTCCACAGTGCTTTGCACTTCTTTCGGTGTGCTTCATGCGAGGTCTTTCACCTTTGAGGTGTGTGCTGGGTACAGTAAGAGGGACCCTTCGTTTCCACCTTCAACACTGGTCGCAATGCATGTTCTCATTGTAATGCCTTTGCAGATGGGACCACGATAATTTAAGTAGCCCCGACATGGCCGCTGTTTCTTTGGCATTTGGGGCTCACGAGTGCAACATAGAGGAGGTTGTTTGAGAAGAGCATCACAGAGGAACGGTTTCCGTTTTGGTACTTGATCTCAGGCGGGTGTTCCATAGCAGCATGCTTCAGCCGATGCTGCCGACTCACGCACCGAACCCCTGACTCAGAGGAAGTTGTGCTAAAGGCCATATGCCTTCATGACTATCCCACAACACACAGGAAGATGGACTTTGTTGACCATGTTCTCTGCATGATAGTCCTTTCCTTGTGATCAGTTATGTGATACAACAAGAATACAGAGGAAGCCTGAACAGTGGATCCAGGAGGCTTCTGATTCGAAACCCCAGACCCTAGGCTTTAAGTCCAAACGCTGCAAAGACCTGGCTCGAAGCCATGATCTCACGGGCCCGTCTAAAGTGGAAAGCTTTCGCCAAGCGGAGTTTCAGGTAATCCCTAAGGCCCTCAAGCCCTAAGCCCAACAACAACCACACCCCAAAGCCCCAAACCCTTAAATCCCTGGATCCGAAACTTTTTGTGGCTTGAAGCCCCCAGTAGATGCTCAGGAATGACGGCGTTCCTGGTGGGCCAGGCCGCAAACATCCCAGCCATGGCGTTCCTCGGAGAATTGAATCAAGAGAGGGTTTGGGNNTTAGGGGCTTAGGGGTTTAGGGTCATCATGAGCATCATCATCATCATGGCACTTTCAGTTCAAATCATCATCATCTGCCCAATAGTCAATGCAAGTAGTGGTAGCAAGGATACTCCATAATAGTACATGATGTGGGTACTTCTATTTTAATTTTCACGACATTCAACTTGAGATTGTCCGAACGTGACGGGTTTTGGGCATGTCGGCACTCTCGCTACTAGCTTCGTCATAGTCCTTCAAGTTTGCGGGTTGCTTTCAGTGGTTGTTCCTAGCATTCCTCCCTCTGTAAAGCTGACGTCAAGTTTGGGTGTGTTTTGTGCTGCAGGGCCTTGGGAAGGAACGCTCATCAGCTAAGCCGCGACCACGCAGCTCAGCAGGGGGTTGCACGGTTCCATGACATCAGCCCAAGACTGGAGTCCCTGCTCCGGACTGAAATTCGAGCCTGTTCCACATTGCACAGGAGAAGGGCGTGGGAAGTGGCAGCTAATGAGGATGAACATGTGATGACGATTATGGCTGTTTGTGGTGATGATGATGATGATGATGNNATGACGATGATGATGGTGCTGATGGTTAGTATCGTCACGACCATGACCATGATGATGCTGATGGTGATGGAGCAGCAGGTTCGTGACACCGCCGTCACCCTCATCCCTCTCGTCAGCATCATCGTCATCGTGATCACCACCATCCAGTATTCTTAGCACCATGGTCGACAGATATGAACAGCGTCATCATCATCANNTCATCATCATCATCATCGTTGTTGTCGGCCCCGTCATCGTCGTCAACATTATCATTAATACCTTAATTAGTCATGTCTGTAGGTATACTATGTTAGTGCTATCTTAGTTTCTTCCTATGCATTCTTGCGACCTCTTCGTGCCAGGCTCACACCTCAAACTATGCTTAGCTGCCTCGGAGGGCTCTCCCTGGTGATCCCGGCTCGCTTGCTGTCTCCTTGGGCATGCGGTTACGTAGGAATGTAGGACGACGGGTTTGGGGCTGGGGTTTAGGTTGCCTGCGCACCGAGCGATTTTGTTTCAGCATGAATCCTCGTATCTCCACCTCAGAGCTTCCCGGGGCTCCACCAGGTGTTCAACTCCACCTACGCTGCTTGGATGCGCGATTGTCGGCTTTCGGTGCTGCGGGATCCTATGTTTTTTTGAAGGCCCCAATCCTGGAAGTGTATAGACAGCCAGAATATAGTCCGCGCCCTTGGCAGCTGAAAAAACACCTTAATATTGATCATAAAGGTGTACCTTGCTTACCCCGGCAAGAGTACGACGGTACGAAGGCCTTATGTGTCCGCGAACTGCGTAAAACCCAAAACAACATAAACCAAGACAAAAACCCGAAGCCCGAAACCCCTAAACCCTAGACCCTTGAACACTAAGCCGCAGCCCTTATAACCCCCAAAATCTGAACCCCTTAAGCCCGAGATAGAGATCTGAGGCTCACTTCCTATTGGGCGAGCGCGTTCGGGCACCCGAGGTAAACCGGAGAGTCTAGCGTGCGGTTCAAGCAGGTATTTAATAGTTTAGATCGTTCTGCCGTAGATGCGTCTGCTGCTTTCGCAGGTTTGCAACAGACCTTTGGGCTTCTTTCGTTATGTAGATCAAATGTTAAATCCTTTCTGCGTGCGGGGTTGTTTTGGGTTCGCGGTTTAGGGTTGGTCTGCAAGCTTGTTTTGCTCGGTAGTTCGAAACCCTGGACCTTCATCCAAGGCAGGCTGCCCTCCCAAGTTGGAAGTACATGTTTGTCCGAGATTTCGAGTTTTGGGGTGAATCCAGGGTCTCCAGCAGTTATTGCCGTCTTCATGTTTGGATATCACTGTCTGTTGTCTTCAGCGTGACTCCTTTTTGTCTGTACAATGATCTTCAGTACAGCGGCTCTTAGATTCGATGATGATTAGTGGCCGCTTTAGCGACTTTAGTGTCTGTTGCGACCCAGTTGGAACTTGAAGGTGCTGGTCATGGTGGCCATGATCACGGGTGCAGCGCTCGTTGCACGGGTCTGAGCTGCATCCCCTATGGGTATCCCTAGTTACAAGGAGTGCTCCATGGTCCCAGTCATCGTCGACACCCACATCTTTCACGAAAAACCAGTGAAACATCGTCGGACCCGTCTCCGTCGCGACTGCGACTTAAAGTAGCTGGAACGCTCAGGTTTCCGTGACTCCAGTGTCTCATCAGCGATATGTCACCGCTGGACAAATCTTCGGATATGTGTTGCACAGAACGTGGCTCGGCAGGTTTAGTGTTCTGCACTGTTCGCCTTGAGGTCCTGTCTGTGGCTCTCAGGAGACTGAATTTGTCCTAAGCTGGCTGTCCGTTGTCGCACCAACCAAGTGCCAGCTGTTCAAGGTCGGCGGATGCCACAATCTAGGGCGCGTCTCCTCACTGTCGCGGGTCAGGGCACAGCATAGCGGTGGATGTGTGCGCTGTTCAGGTGATGCATCTGCTGTTGTGACCATTGCTTTTCTCGGACTCTCACTTTGCTAGATGCTGCGGCTGATGATGCCGGTGGCTGTGTTGGTGAAGCTGTGGCGGTCATGCTGATGATGCCCAAGAGGAGGCAGGGCGACCATGATGACGCGATGAAATTGCCCGTGGTCGAAGATGATGGGAGGAGTTTGCGGCGCAGAGCGAAGACGATTAATGCAGGGATGATGGGGGCAGCGTCGTACGAAAAATAGTGAGCTGTTGTTGCTGCTACTAGGACGACGGTTGGCTGTTCGTGCCACCGCCAAGGATGCTACCACTCTGCCTGCCAGCGCTGACCTGCTTCATAACGTTGTTTTCGCTCGCCAAGTCGTGCTTGACATGGATTGACCAAGCACCGTTTCTTTTGGAGTCTTGGGGTAGAGGAACTACAGACCTGCATCCGGAAGAAGCCATGCCAAGAGCTTAAACCGCAAGATGCAGGTATAGTATGAGATTATAAGATACTTCCCTGTAATATAGCATAATGTAATCCGTTTTGTTAATCGAATATACTATACCATAGGGGCCGATTCCCAAACTCCAAACCCAAGGCCTCGGAGAACTCGAAACGATAGGAAACCCCTAAAGCCAGCGTAGGTTTCTGCTGACGGCTTTAGCTGTCACCGCCACATGTCTGCATTGCGCTGCAAGATGTTGTATATCTTGAGCTTCACGGCAATTTGTGGTCCAAACTTCAGCATCTGCTGGGCTGAGGATAGCAAGGCTTGATGTTTTGAGGGCATGAGCTAGAGCTGTCAGGACGAACTTATAAATACTTACGGCTTCGGTTTATCACCCGGCCGGCTTCATCGCCTACTCTTATTGTGGCCCATCCGAGGCAGGCTCTCATGATGTCCAGCACTTGGGTTTGCGGATGTTGTGTTGTTGGCTTGATTGTGTAGGAAACTTCACCAGATGGATAAGGCCTGCATGGTTACACTGGTTTCGATGTGTACCTTTGGTACCGGTCTTGTGATACTGAAACTCGGATGGCATAGCCTGACGGCACTAAAGCGCCCAAGCCCGCGAAGTCCTTCGTTTTTGCAGCTCCTGCACCCTGGAGATCCGGGGCTGCTTTCCTTCCCTGGAGTCCGGTTTTGAACTGTTTAGCCGCCTGATGGGTTCTCAAGGGCCTCATGGCCAGACGGCTTGGTCTAGCAATGAAGCTGAAATACTAGATGGGGTACCTAAACAGGGACCCTAATNNCCGAAACCCTAAACCCTTAAAGACCTTAAACCTTAAACCCTTGAAGCCCTCCACCCTTACGAAGCCCAGAGACCTAGAGACCTGTGCCTTGAAACCTGAAGCCCGGAGCTTCCTTTCTCTGAAGCTTTCCAGCTTACAGGGCCATCGTCTTTCTGTTGGGAAGCATATCAGGGTTTAGGGCTTTGGGCTATTATGGTTCTGAGTGCAGCGTTTCGGGTTTTGAGTTATGTAAGTTATGGGAGGATTCAGTGAAGCTCTCGATGAGGTCGGGCTTACAATGCTGGGCATTGTGGCTTCTGTTGTAGCGCCAGCCGCTACGCTGGCACTATCACTAACGGCCCCATTTAAGCGTTTCTCAGTATTAATTCGAAAGGGGGGAGGGCTCGGAACGATGGTTCGTTGTCTTCAATAGTATGCCTTAAACCTGAACATCGTGTGGTGTGGTGGTGTGGCTGGGTTCGCAAGGCTTGCGAATTCGGGGCTGGGATCTTGGGGTCACTGTGTGTTGCTGCATCTGCTTTGTTTTCTATGTGCATTCCACCTTCCACCTTCAAAGGTTAATAGGAGTGATTTCTGCAATGGACCTGTTTCAGAGAGAGCTACACGCATTGCTTTTGTGGGACGCTTGAGCTTTAGTGCAACATGTCGCGTTGGCTGATCTCTCTTTTTCGGAACGGAATGACTACCTACAGTGTTTCGCAAAGGTTGCAGAGAGCAAGGGTTGAGGAAGTTAAGGTTTAGTTGGCGGCTGTCAGAGCTTGCGAAGGGTAAAACAGCTTATTTAGGAGCTGAAGTTATGGAATGAAGACGAATCACTGGGCTGACTGGGAGCACGAGCCACTCCGAGGCAAACACAGATCCATTACACTGAGCCCTAAGTCCCGATCCCGAAACTCCAAACCCATGTTCTTGGAAATGTGATACCACTGCTTAAGAACCCCGCCTGCAAGTTCCCAGGATTGCCTCAGAGAGGAAGCTCGTTCGTTCAAGTTCCGGGATAGGCAGAAACCGCCCAAGCATAGCTCGGTCTGTGTAGGAGAACAGCGAATGCCGGCCAAGGAGGTCACGAGTTGAGGTCACAGGCAAGTATGAGCAGGGCAAGGTCAAGGTACTTCGACCGATAAGTACCACGCACAGAATCAGGAGGTCAGAGAAATCGAGGTCCAACCAGGACATACGGAGTGCGACGACGCAGCACCAAAAAAGCTTCACACAGACACAACAGCTTCCAACGACCCAGCGTCAATATTTTGCAGGTGCTCGATCTCCGAGGTCACATTTCGTATAGTAGCTCGTACCCTCTCCAAGCTCTCGACTATGTAGCTTGGTTAAGAGGAGACAAGAGGTACTGTACTGCTTACGTTCATGGCGAAGCTCGGCATAGTCGACTCGACTTTTCTCGATGCCTGGAACCAGGGCAGGGAGAGCGATGAGTGTTGTTGGGACTGCAGATAAATGCAGGGGCCGCAATAATTAGAATATATAGAGTTTTGGGCTCCTTACTACTATACAAACACTACGCGCATAGTTACCAAACTTTTTTTGGGGGTTCCTTGCTATAAGTATTATTTAGGCTTTTGCATTAGCAAGGTGCTGAAGCCCTTCTTTCTGGGGCTGACCTGTGCTGCCTGTGGTAGAATCTCGACTGCAATTTTGTGTTAGGCTTCCTTGGCTTTCTGAGAGCTCGGGATTGGAGCAATGAAACCAAGAATAAGAAGGCACATAGCTGAGAGCACCGAGTCATTCGGACCTAGCAGTACATATCCAGCACGGCATTTGGCGCGCACCACCTGCGGATTTCCCCAGCGCCAGTACCTGTGAATAGACGTCTGCATCTGCGGGGGACGATCATCTCTGTCTTGTTGTCTCCCATGCATGCCTACCTGCCTGTGTCGCAGTTCGATTGCATGGCATGTGCACTGCAATGTAATGCGTCGCACTGCACTTCCAGGTACTGAACCATGTACAGTTAATAGTCGTAGTAGTACTCGAAGTAACAGTAGCAGCAGCACCACCACCACCANNGCAGCAGCAGTAGTAGCAGAAGCAGTGGTAGCAGTGCTAACAGTAGCAACAAGAAGTGTGAAGTAGACAGTTGTGTACTACAGCTGCGCTTGGAGTTTTGGCCAAGATTTAATCAGCCGTCCATGGTTCAAACGGTTCAAGGTGATGGCCGGAACCAGTCTGAGCTCTGACGAACGTTTGCTTCAACCATGATAATTACCTATACCATTTTTTTTTTNNTCCTGTTTGTAAATACAGTATAAAAAGGGCCCCAAAACCCTAAACCCTAAACCCAATTCTCATCATGGGATGTCGCAGCCGAGGCTACGGCATGACCTTATTTAAGGTCGGCCTCTTGCTTCCAAAGCTTGGGGTATCTCGGGCTCTAGGGTTTAGGGGTGAGTAATTTTAGGGTTTGGGGTTTAGGGTTTAGGGTTTAGGGGTTAGTAATTTAGGGTTTGGGGTCACCCAGTCTGTGTCAATTTGGACCTTGCTTAGGGTCATAAGGGCAGACTACCGTTCTCAAGTCTCCACTGCATCCAAGCAATCCAAAGTCGCAGGGAAGTGAGGCCTGCTCGCTCGCATGCCTTCGGTTTCGGGGTTTGCAGACTTTTTATGGTTTGGCAAGAAAAGGCTGCTGAACACTTCAACTTTGCTGCGGGCTGTGGCCGTGCAGAGCTGTCTGTCATGCATGACGTGGCACACGTCTGTCCTTGTTCTAAACTGCCGGGAGATGTCCTTGTTATCTAGATCATGGCGCCAGCTGTGCTTCAGTGATCCCACTATGTCTTGGAGCCTGCTTGTTCAGAGTCTTACATACCCCTCAGTTGCTTGGCAAAGTGAGTTCTTGAGGAGGGCCGAATGATTAAAGAACATGGTTCATAAGGGTTCGCATGTCGACCTTTCAGTTTGGACATCATCTGTTCGAAAGAGTGGCGTGTTGGTGTAGTATACTGTATACTCTTCGGGTCGAAGCACCAAGATTTCCGATTGCGGGGTTAGGGCTGGTTAGGGCTTTCACTTTCTGCATCGGCCTGTAGCCTGTTCGAGTAGATGCTTACCGAAAGATCTCTGTTTGTCAGCATTTCCTCTTGCCTAAGCCTTGCACGATCTGAATCCCAAACTCTGGACTTAGACTGGCAATCAACACACCTTATACATCCCCCTATCTTAAACATAAGCTCTGGAACCTCAAGAAACCCCGCCTGCATCAACCCTAGATCCCACCTGATGCAGAGTCCCCGCACCCCGAATCCTGAAAACCAAGCATGCGAGAGCCCGGAATCCTCACGTCATCGGCACTTATCACCCAGGTGCCGAAGT